TTAAAGGGAAGCTTTTTAAGGGAATCCTTGTCCATCCCCCAGTGTCGAATCACAGTGGTTCCTTTAAATTCGCGTCACATTTCACCCCAAGTCTTGTAAGGGGTTGGTTTCGTGTCCTCAGTGTGTACCCCCGTCTTTTAATCAGGTCCAGTGACCGGTCTCGAGGCTTTCCTCCCGTAGCGACGGTAACTAATGATACCCTTCGTCTTTTCCACCTTCGCAACGTCTCACCCTTATATACACGTCTATATATAGTTTGCAAATGTTTCTGAAATTGGAATCTACCAAATTTCAAGGGATTCACAATTTTTACTTTAATATTCTTACATTTTTACATTTTTAAAAAGAATTTTTTAATAGAAAAGAAAATTATTTTTTATCAATAATAATAATAATAATAAATGAACGAAATACGATTATTTATTTTTAAAACAAAATATTTTTTTTTCGTCATTAAAAAATAGTTGGTAACAGTCATTGACAAATTTCGAGGACATCTCAGGATTCGTGACGTCAGTATCAGTGCCAGGAGAGCCTTTTCAGGGTGGCATTTTAGGGGTCGTTGCGATGCGATAATGAGAACGGGCGCAAAAGGGTGGGTGTGCAAAGACATCCAACCGACCGTTTCTCTCTACACGGTACGATGAAAAGGGAAAGAGAATGAGAAGATGCAAAAGACAAAGAGGGTATCAGGATATTCTATAATAGTAAGAGAGAGAGGAAGAGAGAGAGAGAGAGAACTCCAAAAGGGTTAAAGCCTCGTGAACCAAGAAGAAGGGCTTTTTAACTCCTGTTTTGCATAGATTTGAATAGATAAGGAAGGCGGCAAAATATACGCGAATTAATTTATTATGTATCTCTTAGATCCAACCGAATTTTCTGTAAGCACAAAATCAGCTTCTGGCGAATTTTCACAGCTTTAAGATTTAAATTCGTGAATTTCCAATTTATTTTTCAAATAAACTAAGTAAATTGAAAATTTATGTTTTAGTAAGAAATAACCAAAATTTTTTTAATTTTAATAATCAGTAGAAAAAGTAAGTTTTAGTAAGACATAAATAAGTTTTCATAACTTTAGTCTTAGTATAGAATAAGTAAGTTTTAGTCAGACATACACTCTTTACGATTTTAGTGTAATTATAATTTATTAAAAGTTTTAGAATTAAAATTTTTAAATTCAATAACAGTAGTATAAATAATATTTAGTCAGACAAAATGTATTATCCTCGAGTCTTAGTAGTATAAGTAAATTTCAGTCAGACATAATAGAAAATATTATTTTCTGTTTGCAGTAGAAAAAGTAGGTTCCAGTCAGACAAAATTTTTTAAGTCTTCGAATTTTCCAGTAGTAAAACTACGTTTTGGTCAGACCAAATATTATTTTAGTCACAGTAGAAAAAGTATATTTCAGTTAGACAAAATTATTTAAACTCTACGAATTTTTCAGTAGTAAAATTAAGTTTTAGTCAGACTAGTTTTTTTTACAATTTTTCTTTGTATCATGATTGAGGTCAATATTAAGAAGAATTAAGGACTTTGATTAATGTTTTATATCAATTTTATATATAAAGGGAATAAAATTCTCCCTTTTGTATATATATTGTATAAATTAATTTTGACTTAAGACATTTGGAGATTGAGAAAATAATGCTCCACATGACCTCAGCACATTATCGTCTTTGAGAATGGTAGAACTAACACGTTTAGAACAAGTTGCTCGATAATACATCATCCCTTAAACTGAGGGGTCCCCTCTTGGTACACCGAAGGCAACTAACCCTAGGGCCGTAACGCTTAAGCTTAACATTTCTCACACCCTCCCCCCACATAGACTTAAAAGGGTGGTGGGTTTCTTCTTGAAACCCTTTCTCTCTCTCTCCATTGATATTCTTTCCCTTTCTCTCTCTCTCTCTCTCTCTTTCTCTTAACTCGCTCTCGACAACCCTCCTCTCATTAGTCTTCATTTGTTTTTGGAATTATCGCCTCCAACTAAAACTGGCACGCGAATTCTGCCAAAAGGGGTGGTGAACCGTTATTTAAGGTTTATTAAACTGAAAATATGTTATCCCCTTCAAAAAGCTTCGATTTTATTTAATTTCTTTTTTAATGTAAACAATTTGTACTTGCATTTACACTTTCACTTTCACTTTAAATTAACAGTTTCACTATCACTTACATTTTTAATCAAAAATTTCTTTTAACTATTACTAATTTTTTTATACTTTTTTTCAATGTGAATGTAAAAAAAATTTTAGTGATAATGAAATTAAAAAATAATTTATTCTTGTTATTAACAAATTACTAATTTAAACTATTACTATTACTAATTTTTTTATACTTTTTTTTCAATGTGAATGTAAAAAAAATTTTAGTGATAATGAAATTAAAAAAGAATTTATTCTTGTTATTAACAAAAAAGTTGCTTTAATTCTAATTTTCTAAATTTTAAAAATTAAAAAAAAACAAAAAGCTTATATATAGTGAAACAATCTGAAAATCGAGGTTATCTTCTTTTTGTACATATATATAGAAGCAAAGAAGCTTTTCGAGTTTCGTTGTCTCTCTCTCTCTCTCTCTCTTATCGTTTTCTTAATCCTCTTCGCTCGCTGATTCTCATTCTATTTTTCTTTTCGTCTTCTCTCTCTCTCTTTTTCTCTCTCTCTTGTGAAATGAAAGAGCTATAGAAACAGCCAGCACGTTGGAGAGATAGTGGTGTCGTCGTCCCTGGCAATCCGGTTTAAAGAGAGTTTAAAAATTTCCCCTTTATCCCCTGACGAGCTTTTTCAACCACCCCCCCCACCTTCAATCCAGTCGTTATACCACAGTTGCACCCCCCCCTCTCCCACCTCCCTCCGCAAGAGGAGCTTTGCGGCCAACCAATCCGGCATGCCACAATCTCCGCCCGCCACGCCCACGCACCAGTGACTCCGTGTCCATCCCCACCATCTAATTTCCCCCCAAGCTTTTTACCCCTTCTATCCCCACTTATAATGCCAACAAACTAGACTCCTCTCCTTTTACCGAGAGCTTTCATCTCCATCTCTTTCGTATTCTCACGTTATTCTCCTTGTTCCTCGCGCACCTGATTGTTGGCTTCGCAGCTTTTAGAGTAGAAATTCTTTCTTCTTTTTCTTCTTCTCCTTCTTCTTCTTCTTCTTTTTCTTTTTCTTTTAAATGTCTTGTGCAGACTTTGCTATAATCTGTTATTGATCAAAGTTTTTCTAAAATAGATACTTACGGATTCCTTGATATTTCTGTTTTTCATTTTCTTTTTTTGTTTTGTTTTGTTTTGTTTGCAGTAGAAAATATAAGTTACAGTCAGAGAAAACGTGGAAAATATTTTCATGACTGAAATAAGTAGTAAAAGTAACTTTTAGTCAGACAAATAAAAAAAAATTACAGTAGAAAAAGTAAATTATAATCAGACAAAATATTAATAATGTCCTCGTCACTGAAATCAGTAGTAAAAGTAAAGTTTAGTCAGACAAAAATTTATAAATTCGTAATTTTCTTCTATTAGTAGTACAAGTAAACATTTAGTCAAGCAGAAAAATAAATTATTTTAAATATCGTTTCAGTAGCAATTAGTTTTAGTTTCATTACTAAGATCAGTAGTCTAAGTATTTTTTAGTCAGACAAAAATGTTTAAATTCGCATTTTTCCTTTATTAGTAGTACAAGTAGATGTTTAGTCAGACAGAAATTAAATTCATTTAATTTTACTTTTAGTACAAAAATTAGTAGTGGAAGTAAATTTCAGTCAGACAAAAATGTAAATTTTTTAAATATCAGTAAAAAATAGTTTTAGTTTTAGTACTAAGATCAGTAGTAAAACTAATTTTAGTCGGACAAAAATGTTTTAAATTTTTTTTCTGGATATTGTGTTTGCAGTGGAAAAAGTAGATTATAGTCAGACAAAAATATTTAAATTCGCAATTTTCTTCAATCAGTAGTACAAGTAAATATTTAGTCAGACAGAATTGTGAATTCTTTTTTATTTTTTCTGTTTGTAAAAATTACTTAATACTAAAAGCAGTAGCGAAAGTAAATTTTAGTCAGACAGAAGTGTAAATTCTTTTAACTTTTTGTGTCTGTAGAAATTATTCTTAGTTTCAGTACTGAAATCAGTAGCGAAGGTAAATTTTAGTCAAACAGAAATGTTTAAATACGAAATTTTTTCAATTAGTAGTACAAGTAAATATTTAGTCAGACAAAAGTGTAAATTCTTTTAAAATTTAATATCAGTAAAAAATAGATTTAGTTTTAATTTTTATTTTTAAGTTTCGATCACAACAGAATTATTTGAATTCTTGTCATTTTTATTATATTCTTTTACAACAGGTTTTTTCATTAATATAAATGTGTTTGATAAAATTAATAATGAAAAAATAAAAAAAAACAATTCTTTTCTACTACTTTTATCAAAAAAGGGATAAATAATTTTTTTTTTTAAGTACTTTTTAATTCTGAATAAATCAAACACAATCAATGATAGAGGCGTGTAGAAATGTTATTTAGTAGATAAATACGAGTTTACTATTTGCATGAGGGTATTGGACCATTACTCTACGAGAGTAGACTAGATTCGCCTGAATTGCTTGATTTTCTAGTGTCAACCAGTCTACGTGATTTGCATATATATATATAAATACAATTTATCTCAAAGCCTGGTTGAATTCAATGCTAAAATTTAACTTCATTATTTGAACAATAAATCACTTTAACTTTCTTTTTTCTCCAAATTAAAAAAAAATTTATTAGAAATTTTTTTATGAATTTTATTAACAGTAGAAAAAAGAAAATATGGTGTCAATTTTTCTGTAGAGTAAAAAAGAAGTTAATATTAAAAAATAAAAAAAAAAATAACAAAAGAATATCGATTGAGAAATAAGTGTGAAAATTTTGAAACCTCATAGAATAGAATTCATGAAGATGGGAAAGTAAGATTATATATATATATATATATATATATATAGTCACGAGTTTCTTTCCATTACGCAGGTTTGCAACACCTGAGTCTGGATCAAGGAGGAGGTGGACAAGGGTGGGGTGGTTTACCTAGAGGGGCACTTCCCCCACACTGTCTTCCACCACCGCCCGGTCATCACTCGCATACTCATCCCACTTCAGGGGCAGCCTCGGCCTTCAACCCCTTCCATCATACCATTGAACAAAGATCTCCTAGGATGCAAGGACCCGCTACCAACGGTAAGAAAAAAAAGAGATATCAAGTTTTCATAATGGTAAAAAAAAAATTCCTCTTTTTAGAGAGTGCGAAAAAAAACACGATAAATACAAAATAGATTTAATTTAATAATTATTAAATAAATTATTATTTATTATAATTATTGTTAACTAATTGTAATTATAATTTTATTTGGCTAACAGTTGGTTTTTGGATCTTTTTACATAAAATAATTATTTAATGAAAATTTGCAAAAAAAAAAATCTTGGAATTAAAATCATAATTTTTGCAGAATCTCCGAGAAATGATTTAGGACCAATCACTGTTTCGGTACGAGAAGCAACACCCAGTGCTTCACCGGCAAATCCTGGTCCAGGTCTCCTAACTACAGCATCCGTTACGGCACCAACATCGTCAGCAGAATCCACAACAACTGCACCCAGTCCATCTGGTCATCATTCACATTTTCAAGGTTCATTTTTTTTTACATAAATCTTTTGTTTTACAAAAGGAAAAATTTTCCCCAAAAAAATTGTTTTCTTTACTTTTATTTTTTTCAGGTCTTCATCTATTGGGTGCAACTAATTCATTGTTTGGATCGATATTTGCCCCCCTACTACCACAATCATCTTGGCTCTATAATCCTCTTTATCATACACAACAATATATTTTGGAACCCGAGTGGCATGCATTGGCTTTAAGAATGGCTCAACATCGTTTACAGAGGCCAGATCAAGTTCGTCTTGAGGAATTGAAAAAACTTCGTGCCAACAGCGATAGTCCTGAGGATAATAATTCCAAGGACGAAAGACGCGTTGACACTGAAAATCGCGATACCGAAAGTCCCGATGGTAGTATTGAAGTTGATGATCGTCACGAGCAGGATAGAAAAAATCGTAACAAAAGTGATGAGTCATTAAACGAACAAGAATCACCGCGAATATCACCAATACAAAATAGTGATCATGACGATACAATTTCACCAGAATTAAACGAAAGAGAAACATCCATTCGATTGAGACCAAGTTTAGAGAATCTCAACGAATCGGAAATTTATGATCAAGAACAAACTGTCTCTTGTGATTTACCAGTGAAAATAAGAGTCGAAGGCACTGTTGATTTAAGCACAAAACGTGGACAGGATAAAGAAAATGTTGGACAGGATCTCACGACAAAAAAAAAGGATAATGAAGAATCCGAAAGAGAATCCCTTCGAACAAGAAGGGACCGAAGTCCCAAACCAAGACAAGTTTGGAGACCCTATTAAAAAAAAAAAAAAATTGCCCTTGGTTTTCTCTATAAACCAAAAAAAAAAACAGGACTAACCAGGGTTTCGAGTCAACTGCAATGTAAATACGTCCAATGTTTAAGGAATTGTATCTAAAAACTCTCTAATCCACAAATTTTTTCCTCGTAATTTATTTCCATTTTGTATAAAAAATATTAAAAAAAAAAAAAGAATTCACTAATGACAATTTTGACTCGATGTAAAATTCAAAAAGAAAAAAAAATACTTAGCTGTCCTCTGTAAATAAATTTAGATGTATACGATTTCCGTCAGGTGCACCATGTGACAAAAAAAAAATATTATTGTTTCTAGAGAAAGATATGAATAAAAAAAAAAAAAAAACTAGTCGAGAAATCTGTGCAATTTTAGAATTCTATTGCCTTCTCGATGCCTATGTTCTTAGACAGATTCGTTTAAGAAAATTAATCATCAACTGTTTACGTAAACAATCGAATAAATATTCTTCGTTCCAAAAAATATTGTACTTTTTTTTCATTCTAAATAAATGTCCTTAAATCCTTTAATGCAAATATAATTATATAGAATTTTAATATCAATTTTGTTTCAAAATTATCACTTGTCCTGATAAATTTATCTAAATATTGGAAAACTATTTTTTATTTTGAACCAAAGTTATCACTTGTCCTTATAAATGTAACTAAGTACTGAAAAGTTGTTACTAGTCACTAGTTATCAGATGTTTATTTCGGACAAAGGTTATCACTTGTCTCTGTAAATATAACTAATCGCTGGAAAGTTATACATTTTTTGTTTCGGAATAAAATTATCACTTGTTCTTATAAACATATAATTATAAATAGAAGTAAATGTTGAAAAGTTATCAGTTTCTTGTTTCGGTACAAAGTTATCACTTATCATTATAAATATAACTAAGTACTGTTAAGTTGTCAGATGCTTGTTTCGGAACAAAGTTATCACTTGTCCTTAAAAATATAACTAAGTACTGTTATCAGTTATTTGTTTCGGCACAAAGTTATCACTTGTCCTTTTAAACATATAATTATAAATAGAAAGAAGTATTTGTTAAGTTATCAGATGCTTGTTTCGGAACAAAGTTATCACTTGTCCTTAAAAATATAACTAAGTACTGTTATCAGTTATTTGTTTCGGCACAAAGTTATCACTTGTCCTTTTAAACATATAATTATAAATAGAAAGAAGTATTTGTTAAGTTATCAGATGCTTGTTTCGGAACAAAGTTATCACTTGTCCTTAAAAATATAACTAAGTACTGTTATCAGTTATTTGTTTCGGCACAAAGTTATCACTTGTCCGTTTAAACATATAATTATAAATAGAAAGAAGTATTTGTTAAGTTATCAGATTCTTGTTTCGGAACAAAGTTATCACTTGTCCTTAAAAATATAACTAAGTACTGTTATCAGTTATTTGTTTCGGCACAAAGTTATCACTTGTCCGTTTAAACATATAATTATAAATAGAAAGAAGTATTTGTTAAGTTATCAGATTCTTGTTTCGGAACAAAGTTATCACTTGTCCTTAAAAATATAACTGAGTACTGTTAAGTTATCAGATGCTTGTTTCGGCACAAAGTTATCACTTGTCCTTATAAACATATAATTATAAATAGAAAGAACTGTTGCAAAGTTATCAGATGTTTGTTTCGGTACAAAGTTATCACTTGTCTTTATAAATGTAACTAGGAACTGTTATTAGTTGTTTGTTTCGGAACAAAGTTATCACTTGTCCTTAAAAACATAACTAAGTACTGTTATCAGTTGTTTGTTTCGGCAAAAAGTTATCACTTGTCCTTATAAACATATGATTATAAATAGAAAGAACTGTTGCAAAGTTATCAGATGTTTGTTTCGGTACAAAGTTATCACTTGTCCATAAAAATATAACTAAGTACTGTTATCAGTTGTTTGTTTCGGAATAAAGTTATCACTTTTCCTTTTAAACATATAATTATAAACAGAAAAAAGTTTGGAGAGTTATCAGTTTCTTGTTTCGGCACAAAGTTATCACTTGTCCTCATTTTCAATCCAAAATCATCACTTGTTTTTATCCACGCTAACAGAAATAAAAAAAAATTAAAAATCATCAATCATTCAATTTTAATTTTAAAAAATCGAAATTTTTTCTAAATATCAAATTAATTGAATTCAATTACAAAATAATTAAAAGCACACACACACATATTTATATGATATGAAGATGATTTGATTAGAGAAATTTGTAATTACATTGGAGGCAACAACCTTGCGACGAATGCCAGTAATCTGATACGCTGTCATGCACCGATTGATTAATCACTACTACTTGCTGATTAGTCAAAACATAGGGACGCGTGTCGTTGGCCGCAAATTGCCAATTCTGTCTAGTCGACAAGTCTCAAACGTGTTCGAATAGGATAGATATAGATATAGATAGATAGAGATGAAGTCAAAGTGTATGTTATACACCTAACTGAATATAACTTGACCTTCCCAAATACACGAGGTCCAGATGGACCAGTTTCAATAATTCGCTTCGATTGCATTTCTCAACTGTTATATAGGTGGGAGGGAGGAGGATGCACACATGGTAAAAATGCCATGTCCAATATCCGATTGGTGAAAACTGGAAAGGTCACGTGATTGATGGAAACACAAAGCTTTATGACCACACTGCGAATAACAGAAATCGAGATAAAAAGACCGCAAACAATTTTAAAACATTATTTTCTCATATGTATATATATATATATATTTGTATTATAATTCGATATTCTGCCAAATAATAATAAATCAAATAAACGTTAATAAATCCTAATTATAAGATATGATAATTAGGAATTAGGATTACTTTCCTAAATGGAATAAAGAAAAAGAGTCTTAAATCAGGGAAATAAAAAATTTGAATCTTTCAAAAATATTCTAGTGGAAATTTAGATGGATTTTTTTTCTTTGAAGATCGTAGGAATGCAGGTAGGAATCAAAATGTTACTTATTTATTTAAAAAAAAATTAGAATACATATTCTTTAGGAATATTCTTAAAATATTTACAACGAAAATGTTTCTTAATTAAGTTCGTAGGAATAATAATTCCTTAAAATATTCTTGAGAATATTTCTAAATTCTTCTTTTATTTAACTTTGGAATTTACTTTTTTTGTTATAAACTATTTTTTATAATTAATTTAATTAAATATAATTAGTAATTATATAATTACACTGGAAATATTTCTATTGTCTTAAAAGTTCATCTGAAATTTTAAACTAGAAGAGTTTAATAAAGACAGTTCACATTTAATTTTGTTGTAAAATATTTTAATTTTTCCCTCAATAAAATTTAATAAAGAAGAAAGGGACCTTAGAAGCAAATCAATTATAGGTTATGTTTACCAGGTTCAACCAGGTCAGGACCAGGTTGGCGAATTTCTGCACCGGTTTTTTTGTTCTCGAAAGATTGCCAAAAAAATGAAACCTCAAAAAAAACACAAAACGTCAGTCACGTAAACGTCATTGTTTTCTCTCCTTCCATCAAGAATCAATCACTATTATTATTCTGATCATGGAAAATTGAATCAACTGTCGAACGATCGTCAAATAAAGCCATTTGGAGTGGAAAAGGTTGACTCTCACCGATTAGAAAGAAATCAACCTCTAAAAATACATTTCTGTTTCTGGCTGCTCGTGATACACGTTATAAAATCGCTCTCTCTCTCTCTCTCTCTCTTTCTATATATATATATAGTATATGTCCATAGATAAATCGGAGGGGAGGGGTCAGTCTTTGTCGCTATTTTAGTGAACGCTTGGATGAATGTACGATCGATGAATCAATCCATTCCCCATGACGTTGACGAAACCAGGATCCGGAGGGGGGTTCTGGGGTCAATTGAGGCAAAAGGGATGCGAGGGGGAGGAAGGGGAAAAGGCAGAGATTCGATAAAATCGTCCCATGCATATATGGCAACAGTAGCTGAACATTGTGGATGCGGGGAATGCAGGTGAGGGTGTATTAAAAAGAAGGGGGGAGAGGGTTAGCTGTGGTCGCGTACCAATCACCCGACAGCAATGGAGTGGGCTTTTACATATATGTGGAGAGGAAAAAGGGGGAGAGGAATCGGGAACAAGCTGAGCTAACTCGTCACAAGTGGAAAGAGAGAGAGAGAGACAGAAAGAGAGAGAGAGAGAGAGAGAGAGAGAGAGAGAGAGAGAGAGAGAAAAAGGGATCATATAGAAACGAGGGGTTTGTTCGATGCCACGGTGCGCCGAGCCACGCAACCCCCGTGAAATTTTAATCGTGTCGTCATTGCGATAGTTTGTTGCTATAACCTGACCCATAGGATTCTGTAGACCACGAATTTTTCCCAAAAAGTGCCATCGTCCAACGCCCGATCAATCTCCCTCTCTCTCTCTCTCTCTCCTTCCATTGCGTTCTCGTGCTTTCATCCACATTGAAAAAAAAGTACTTGTTCGATTAACCAAATACCACCATCACGCCCCAACGAATTAACACGTTATTTATCACTTTGATGCGGGATTTCATTTTTGGCTTCTAATTTCCATTTTTTTTTTTGGTTATGGAGATATGAAATTTTCTTGTAATTAAATTTTAATAAATTAAATTTTGCTGATTTTATTTTGGGATTCCATTTTTTTAAACGTGTTCATTGATTTAAAAAAAAAAATACACATTTGATATATTAAATCAAAAGTTTTTTGTAATTTGATTTTCTCTTTGACTTTCACTTTTATTTTTCAACGATATTATTCCAGTTAAAAACAAAAGTAAAATTCCATTTGTAATTTGGGATTCAATTTATTTAAACGTGTTCATATTGTAATCTGAAAAAAAATTTATTAGAATACCAAAGTAATAAATAGCGTAAACAATACAGCTTCTGTTTTTTTACGGTTTATAAAATTTTTTCCACCGCTAAATATCTAAAAAAAAGCAACAATTACTGATATTCATTTTTATCCCTCATGTTAAAAACAAAAAATAGAAAACATTTGATCGAATCTCTGACGGGAAATCCGGTCTCTGAATAAGAATATCATTTAGCGCGCCCTTTTTCCATTTACCGCCAATACCTTAATGTCAGTCCCGCGTTACGAGTCTTTGTTTTCGATCCCCCATTTTAACGCGCAGAAAAGGGGGACGGGGGTTTTTTGCAACCACCACCGCGTCCTCTACGATGAAGCTTTATTTAGCAGATGATATTTACGACTTCCAATCCCCTATACCCCTTTCCAACTTTTATATTGTCTTTGGCAAAGTTACGCTTTTGGCGATGCTATAATATTTTTTTTGTGTGGGGGGGGGAATTCCCCTTAAAATCCCCTCCCCCTTTTTTTTGGTGGGGACAGCAACGTCTTGGTTCTTCTAGAATTTCTCAATTGTTCATTCTCATTATTTTCTTGGAAAATTCTTTTTTTACTTTAATTTTTTTTAAGTAGATGATTTGTTTTAAAATATGTGTATTTCTATTTCTGACATTGTC